TTAAATGTTACTTTTTGGGGGCATTTCATTTTCTTGGAATTAAATTTTGTTTTCAGGGGTCATTGGATTTAAGTGTCTTAAATAAACAAACAAACAAACAAACAAACAAACAAATAAATAAAAGATATCATCACCGCAGGGAGGGGGGCGATGATAACTTCCTCAATGGCTCAAGGGGGCGTTTCTTTCAAAAAGGTTAAGAACCACTGCTGTAGAGTAAGGAAAAAAGAGGTGTTCTTAATCACTCTCTTTTACTATTTTTTCTCTAAATTTGCTAGCATAAGAATTATGATGGAAATATGACATCTAAGCATGTTCTCTCTCTTTCCTCCTTGTCTCCTGCTGTAACTTGGGGTTTTGGGACTCTCTCTGTATATAAAAGCACATACATGCAGAACTGAATGTGTCTTTGGTGCATGAAATAGAGTTCACATTCGTGGAACAGGGCTTGATGTCCACCACATTCCCTCTGCAACCCCACCTTCCAAAAATCTGTTTTGAGGGCTAAAGGGACTCTTGCGAATGATATAGTGGTTCAGAGAAGTACCTGTGTTAGTCTGTGCAGGCATATCAAACAAGAACAAAAGAAAAAAAAATTAAAACATTGTGGCACCCTAATGACTAACTAGTGTATTTCCATGTGAACTTTTATGGATCAGGTATCTGAAAAAGAAGACTTGATCCGCAAAAGCTCACATTGAAATGTAATAGTGTTTAAGATGCCACAATGTTTTATTTGTTTTTCTTGGGAGTGATGTGGGGGTTGCAGAGGGATGGGGTTGTAAAAATCATCTTCTCCTGGTATCCAAACAATTGACTTATCATCCAACGTTGCTCTTTCTCTTTGTCTCTTTTTTTCCTCATCTCTTCTTGTCATATTTGACTATAATACAGATTTGTTTGTTTCCAGTTTGCTAAGTGGAAGAATTTCAACACTGAAAGATGAAACTGGTGCTGTGAGTATTTTGTTTTCCAATATTCTAGGACGTGATAACCAATTTTTACATTAGGGTTAACAAAATGAACTTGTTGAAAACAAGATGATTCATATGAACATAACTGCAAAAACTTTATAATCAGAGTGGTCACAAGACCAGATAGGCGGGGTATAAATGGAATGAATGAATGAATGAATGAATGAATGAATGAATTAAATAAATAAATAAATAAATAAATAAATAAATAAATAAATAAATAAATAAATAGTAAATGAATGTGAAATAAAGATTGTGGTAATATAAGATCCTATTTGACAATTCTGCTTAAGAGGGGTAGTTGAACTATACAATTAGAATGTGACTTATTCCTCAAAGGACAGTACTTCCAGATAGGAGAAACCACACAAAACAGTTGTAAGAAAAAAAAGTAAATTGAGTCAAGTTGGAAGAATGCTTGCCACACAAAAGGGTGCTTCATATGATTTGTTCACAAAGTTTTCAATGGTCACTGACTGTTTTGTGAAGTATATGAAACAACTATTGGAGAACTTTACATATTCTCTTGAAAACCAGCCTGATCTGTCTGAACACATGACAGTGTGCACAGAATCACGTTTTTTATATCAGGTTAGTGGAGAATTTCTGAGGGAAAAGAAGCTTTATTTCTAATGCTCCTAGGCAATAAAGGCTAACAAAACATCTGTTCTTCATTGGTTAGTTAAGAATGGAGAGAATCTACTTTCAGTCTTGTAATATTAATTGTGTGCTGACAGGTCAATTCTTACTTATGGTGACTTTTTCCAGGGTTTTCTAGGTAGAGAACACACAGAAGTGGTTTATCATTTCCTTCTGGGACCACCCTGGGACTGCACAGCTTCCCCATTACTACACAGGGAGGCTCTTCTGTCAGGAGGCACAGTGGGAAATTGAATTCCCACCCTCTGCAGTCAGATGACTAAACCACTGAGCAATCCAGCATTCTCAGTGGCAGTGTATGAGATTTGTCGTCGAAATCATGGGACTTCAAAATGCTTAGTTTTGGCACTATTATACCCTGTATCCATTATAAAACCATAATAAAATTTTTAAACATCTATCATTACTAAATTAAAGACTTTTTATGACTTTGATAATTTTCAAATTACAACTACATCTTCCACATAAATGCTTATGAAAATCATCCCTATATTCAGTCTAGTACAACTCAGTCTTATATTTATGAATATTTTGTTATGATACAGGGCTTAATAGTGCCTTAAAAAAGAAGCATTTTGAGGTCCCATGAGTTCAGCAATAAACCTAAACATAAGCCTTCACAAATACATTACATCAGAAAATTTCATTATGGTGACAGATTCATGCATCTATTCTCAGACATATAAACAAAGCTATTAAATGGGCTCTCATTCCTTTGTAGATATTTATTGATAGAGATCCTGCAGCGTTTGCACCTATTTTAAATTTTCTCCGAACAAAGGAATTAGATTTGCGGTAAGAAATTCTAAGACAATTTACATTACCTTTAAGAAGAGCTCTGTGAAATTAGCTCTCATTTTGTTACCATTGTAGCTGACCAGCTGCTTATAAGAAGTACACAAACAAGATATGAGTGACATACCTGCTCATGTTATAAGAATGTAGTGCCTTGTATTTCACAGAATAATGAAACCAGACAACTTCTGCAGATGTTCTAAATGATTGATTGGATTTAAACAGAATATATTGAAGTTCCTTTAAGCCTTTATAGAATGCTTAGATCACCCTTAAGGGTGTGTGTGTAGATCTTTGCATATTATAACATTTACGAAAAACTTTGTAACTCAGTATAGCGCCTCAGGTCTCAAACATGAGTCAGCTATATAGTCTTTGAGGCAGACTCCAGTCCGTCTTTGTACCCAGAAAATAACTTCTAGAAGACTGGGAAGTCCTCAGGAATAGATTTTCAGGTATCAACAGGAAGCAGTGTAGGGGACCACCAGTTCAATATTGGATTTATTGGCCAAACTGTTTTCAAAGTGTAGAGGTTCAGTTTAGCAAGTCAGATTCAGTATCTTTCCTTATGGCTTAAATGTAATGTAAATTTATGTAATTGTTTCTTTTTATCACTAGTACATGAAGTTATTTCTATTCACAGTATTTTTAATGATTTGAGAATGGATGTTCTGATAAATTTGGATTTAATTACTCTTGTTTAGAATTCTAAGTTAAATGATAAAATCAAATGGTGAAAAATGCTGCTCATACTTTCTACTTTTTTGCAGAGGAGTAAGCATTAATGTACTTAGGCACGAAGCAGAATTTTATGGAATCACACCTTTAGGTAAATATAGTTCTTCAGGTATTCACACTAGTCTGAATTTGATGAACCAGTGTGGTGGTGAAATGAAAAAAAACTCATGCATAGTTGCAGTCTCTCTCTTTATATAGGGTAAATTCCTGTAAATAGTGTTGATATTGAGTTCTCAACTAAGAACATTAGGTTTGGCATTCTAGGGGAAAAGAAGCAAACGTGGAGTAAATTCCCTTGCTTTCCTTTGCTAATTTAACTGTAGGGGAATGGGACTTCTTGGCATTGGTTGCCAGTTAGGGATCAACATTTCCAACTCTGAGAAGTCATCTGGACTAATGATACACAAACACACATAGATTTTCTCAGATGGTTTCTGGGGTGGAAATGGCAGCCACAGGGGAGAGCTCTCTTTGTTGCCATGCTTACAAACATATATCTGATTTGACTGTGGTGTGTAGAAAGAGATGTATAGAATGTGGGTAGGGTCTTTTGGGTTGGAGCATCCAGTTTGTAGAACTGCCTCTCAAGAGATTTTTAGGCAGATAGTGAATAACCTTTGGGGGGAAAAAACACCTTCATTTCATTTCTTATCTACTTGTGTATTTTGTATGTTTTTTTTAAATAGTTTGGTTTTATAATTTTATTAATTGATGTTTTAGCTCTGTAAACCAACTTGCTGATCTTTCTGGGGGCCAAAGGCTCTTTTCAGTTGGCAGGAATAGGGAGGAATATTTGAAGTCACCCCTGAAATGAATTCAGGTTACGTCTAAGCTGATTTTTGAAATGTAGTCCTGCTACCTTGAAGGAAAACTAAAGAGAATATAGCTCATTGTGAATTCTCTTATGTTACATTGTGTGGAGTTTGTTTTGAGTACATGTTATTTCTTTTTAGTAAGAAGACTTCTTTTATGTGAAGAGCTGGAGCGTTCATCTTGTGGCAGTGTCCTCTTTCATGGATATCTTCCACCTCCAGGTGGTTAACATATGTTTATTCATCTTAGGAACAAGAAGGAACTTTTCACAATTCTGTAGTTTTCCAGTTGTATAATGTGGCTAGCCAGACTTAGGCTTTTGCTTTACATAAAGAAACAAATGATTTGTGTATTTGCAGTATGTCAGTAACTACTACACAATTAAGGTTAAGGCCTTATCAGGATTCTTTTTCAAATTATTCTGTTCTACCTTCTTTTTCTTAGTTCTGTACACAGTTTGCTGAGAATCTCACAACCATGTGAGTGAGTGTATAATTGCAAAAGCAAACCAAGCAAAGTGTGCTGTTGATGTACAACCCCATAGCGTTTAAAGCACTCTCTGGTTTACAATTTAATTATGCAAGCTACATCCCACCCACCCATCCCCGCAAACTAGGTACTCATTTACTGACCTCAGAAGAATGGAAGGTTGAGTTCAGGAAGATTGAATAGAAGGTTGAGTGCAGCCTCGAGCAGGCTACCTGGGATTGAACCTGGGTTCTGAGCTTAGTTTGGGCTGCAGTACTTCAGTTTAACCACTGGGACACAAGGCTCCTTGCAAAGATAAATTATATTGCATACTACATTTCATGCAGAGTTGAGTAACTTAAGGCCTTTTGGGTTGGAGCATCCAGTTTGTAGAACTGCCTCTCAAGAGATTTTTAGGCAGATAGTGAATAACCTTTGGGGGGAAAAAACACCTTCATTTCATTTCTTATCTACTTGTGTATTTTGTATGTTTTTTTTAAATAGTTTGGTTTTATAATTTTATTAATTGATGTTTTAGCTCTGTAAACCAACTTGCTGATCTTTCTGGGGGCCAAAGGCTCTTTTCAGTTGGCAGGAATAGGGAGGAATATTTGAAGTCACCCCTGAAATGAATTCAGGTTACGTCTAAGCTGATTTTTGAAATGTAGTCCTGCTACCTTGAAGGAAAACTAAAGAGAATATAGCTCATTGTGAATTCTCTTATGTTACATTGTGTGGAGTTTGTTTTGAGTACATGTTATTTCTTTTTAGTAAGAAGACTTCTTTTATGTGAAGAGCTGGAGCGTTCATCTTGTGGCAGTGTCCTCTTTCATGGATATCTTCCACCTCCAGGTGGTTAACATATGTTTATTCATCTTAGGAACAAGAAGGAACTTTTCACAATTCTGTAGTTTTCCAGTTGTATAATGTGGCTAGCCAGACTTAGGCTTTTGCTTTACATAAAGAAACAAATGATTTGTGTATTTGCAGTATGTCAGTAACTACTACACAATTAAGGTTAAGGCCTTATCAGGATTCTTTTTCAAATTATTCTGTTCTACCTTCTTTTTCTTAGTTCTGTACACAGTTTGCTGAGAATCTCACAACCATGTGAGTGAGTGTATAATTGCAAAAGCAAACCAAGCAAAGTGTGCTGTTGATGTACAACCCCATAGCGTTTAAAGCACTCTCTGGTTTACAATTTAATTATGCAAGCTACATCCCACCCACCCATCCCCGCAAACTAGGTACTCATTTACTGACCTCAGAAGAATGGAAGGTTGAGTTCAGGAAGATTGAATAGAAGGTTGAGTGCAGCCTCGAGCAGGCTACCTGGGATTGAACCTGGGTTCTGAGCTTAGTTTGGGCTGCAGTACTTCAGTTTAACCACTGGGACACAAGGCTCCTTGCAAAGATAAATTATATTGCATACTACATTTCATGCAGAGTTGAGTAACTTAAGGCCTTCTAAGTGAAGTTGGGCAGAACCTCTTGTAGTCGCTCACCACTGACTGATCTCTAGAACTAGTGGCAATTGCTGTCCCAACAACAGCTGGAGGGTCACAAGTTGCCCAGCTCTGTTCTAATTAGTTGCTGACCTTTGCAGTGAGGTCATTTACAAAAGCGTATTGTAGGTGTATTGTTGGCTTGATGCTATGTGAGTATACACATAAATTTTACAATAGATAGTGGTATTTTGATGGAAAGCTCTAGACTGCATCTTGAGAGCTATATCACTTTCACTGAGGTTTGGGTAACCCATTGAAGTGGCTTGGGATGGAATATGTTGAGCTGTCAGGTGGGGAAGAACATTGGTTGGCAACACCTTGGCATAATAGAATTGTACTCATGCAAAACTCTGCCAATTTTGGAAATTTTCCTTTTCCCATTACTCCATGCCACCCTGTAATGTCCCAGTGCTCAGAAGAGAGTTTTTAATCATGAGAAAAGGGGTTAGAATGTTTCTTTTCATGAACATTCTTCCACTCACAGTTCACAGGTTGCTGTGTTATATGTTCTTTTGTAAATCATCTAGAGAGTGGCTCACCACTGGATGGGCAGGATATAAGTACAATCATTCAGTTCTTAGATCCAACTTAAGGGAAGGCCAGTAAAAACGAAATTAAATCCATATCTTTTTTTTTTTGTCATAGGCATTCCAAGTCGTAAGATTAGCAGTTCTACAACAGCTTCTACTGATGTTAGAACACCTCAGAATTGCCTTGAAGGGGAAATCCGAGGAGGGAATATGCAGCCTTCACTTGCTGGTCCTGGAGAAGATACAGTTAGGTTAGGTGAGAACAATTATATTTTGTAATGCAAGTAAAATCTTCACAGGAAAGTATCTTATTGTTGTGGGAGGGAGATATGTTGGTTGCAAGGCAAACAAAGAGTGTTGTGAGATCTAAAGATGCATTTTGATATTACTCATGATTTTGCCGAACAACTAAGTAAGTATTCCAATGTAGTGTTTTTAGACAGCTCCAAGCCTGTGCAAAATAAAACTTGCTAGTCTTTTAGATGCCAAAAGACTCTGTTGTTTTATTTTTCAGTTCTAAGTATCCAAAGGTTTCTAGAATAAGGATGGACATTTCATTGACATACCTATTCCTGAAAGTTGTGATGTGTTAAGAGAGTTGGTTGAGGAGTAATCTTTCATTGCAGTCACTATATAGAATATACAGATATATAAATCAGAGGTGGGTTGCAAAATGTGTGTATTTCCCTCATGTTCCCTAGTCCCCAGAAGAATTGGGGAAAATGTTGTGTTTTGCTGCTGTAATTCATTGGCAAACTGCTAACTGTTTGAAAGAACCTCATTAAGGCAGAAAGCCTTTTTGTGAGTGTAAATTTGTAGGAGATAAATGGTGCCATACATGTTTTACCCAAGAATAATAAATCAAAATTACCCAACCGTGTTGCACTGGGTTAGTTTCATTTAAAGCCATTAGTTAGATTTGAATGTGAGTGACAACAGTGTTGTCTTGCTATATGCAGAGCTGTGTACATTTCAATCATTTATTTACAACAACTGCGAATGATGTAAACTGATGTGTTTGCATCATTTATTTTGCTTCTGTAAATGACTTTTAAGTATGGCTATGTACTACCAACAGCATCAGAGACATATGTCTTAAAACCAATTGCAACAGGGTTGATATTGTGCTCCTCTTTTCTGTTGTGGGCTTACTGAAAGTTTCTGGTTGGCCATTCTAGGAAAAGAAAACTTCAGTAGGTAGATATTTGGTATACTCACTCTAGTCGTAGGAGGATAGCAGAGGTATAATATTTCTATCTCTTAACACAGGATTAAGGGTTCTTAATTGCTTCTGTTTTTGTACTTGTTCTTCCATGTATATATGCGCACACACATTCTCCTTAATCATGTTATAGTAGCCATAGGTTTGCCTAAGAACAATCTTATTCCGATGTAGTGCTCATAAGCAGGTTCCAGATCTGATAGCTCTTAGGTTAAGAATAAACACTGGTTGACATTAGTACATAAGTGACAACAAGAACAACAAAATGGGCAATGGAAGCAATTTACACAAAAGCAGTGATAAATTGTTTGTGCACAATATTCTCTGGGCCATCTCATTCAATTGTTAAGGAGCAGGAGGTGTTGCTCTACAAGAATATTGGACTTCCTTGCTGCTAGAATTCCCATTTGTCCTCTTTTGAGTTTTGAGATTTTCTTTGGTATTTTCATACTTCTGTCTTGTAGCCTTCATAACTAGGTATGTGTATTACAAAAATTCAGATTGTTATGATGAGAATTGTGTTTAATAGCAACTCCATACTCATAAGACATTTAAGGATTAATAGAACACAAAAGTGCCCTGAGTGCATAAGTGAAATGATAAAAGCAAAAAAGTATTAAAGCAAACAAATTACAAAAAAGACTCATGATAATTTATATTTCACTTAATCTGTGCTTTGTTGTGTTTTTTAAAGGGTTTCCTGTGGATCCGCGGAAAGTTTTGATAGTGGCTGGCCATCATAACTGGATTGTAGCTGCATATGCTCACTTTGCAGTTTGTTATAGGTAAAGACACGATAGAGCTTTCCTTTTGCTTGTTTTATGGGAGAAATGTTTTTCTAAAATATCTGATCAATGTCTTTCAGTGGAGGTATGTCTCTGAAGAGTTTTAAAACAATGTGTAGTGTATTGAAGCAGGTTTGTGGAGTTCATCCACATATGATAGGGGCCCTTTTAAAGAAAAAGGTGGGGTAAAATATATATATTTTAATTAAATCATAGGTCCTGTGAAAATTGGTTACCTTCCATTGTTCAGATATGTTCCACCTGCCTTGTGGTGAATTCTTGCAGGAATTTTTTTTCATATGGATTTGCAAAAAGCTCTAAAACATCTGTGAAGAGAAAGTCCATTGTACTGGATCCATTGCAGATTATTAGTGGAACAAATATTTTATAAAAATATTTTAAAGAACTACTGTACAGAAGAAACGCTAATACAGTGGTGCCTCGCTTAACGATGTTAATTGGTTCCCAAAAAAACATTGCTATGGGAAAACATTGCTAAGCGAAACACCATTTCCCATAGGAATGCATTGAAAACTTGTTAATCTGTTCCAATGGGAACGGATTACCGTCCTTAAGCGAAAATCGCCATAGGAAACATCGCTAAGCGATAAAATGTTTCCCCCATTGGAATGCATTGAAGCCTATTCAGTGCATTCCAATAGTTTTGCAATGTCCGTTTTCGCTATTTTTAAAGTGTCTTACAATGTTCAAAAACGGTTTTAAATGCTTGGGATCGTTAGTGCACCTTGCAAAACCTGTGCAAACTTAATTTGGCTTTGTTCTGAGTCTTCGTTAATTTCTGGTGAATTTTTTTCTCCCCCATTGAAATGCATTGAACTGTCGGTTTGACAGCTGTCAAACCTACCGTTCAATGCATTCCAATGGGGGAGAAAAAAATCACCAAAAATTAACGAAGACTCAGAACAAAGCCAAATTAAGTTTGTACAGGTTTTGCAAGGTGCACTAACGATCCCAAGCATTTAAAACCGTTTTTGAACATTTTAAGACACACTTAAAATTGCAAAAACTGATATCGCTAAGCGAAACAGGGGGACCTAAACTGTCATCGCTAAGCAAGGCAAAGTCCCGAACATCGCTATGCTAAATTTCCCCATAGGAAACATCACAAAACGGAGCGTAAAATCGCTCAAAAAAACCCATCGCTAAGCAAATACATTGTTAAACAAGACAATCGCTAAGCGAGGCACCACTGTATCTATATTTCACTAGGAATATTCTGTGGCAAGTCCAAGATCCATAGGAACCCTACATTATCAAGGAACACGTGTGTACTAGTGGATGTTGCTTGATCACCACCACTTGCACTGAGAGCAGCTAAGCAAATGATGGATTTTCACCTACAGTTACCCAAACAGCATGTAAAAATCCATGGGTTGCTTGTTCACACTCACTGCTACTGAGAAGTGTGCTGGTGCATGCTTCTCATTCATTGCAACCCATTATGTGATGTATCCCAGGGATACTTGGCATGTCATGTCTTGTAAATGCATCCTGCATGTGAAATAATGTGGCTTAGAGTTTTTAAATACAGTTAGTTGAGTCACACTGCACTTTGTGTAAATCAGCAAGGATGGTGTCTCATAGTAGTACAATGGAACAGGTATATCGATACTGTTGACAGAATAATTGTTATTGTCGTATGCTTCCTGCCTTTCGTTAAAACTGTCATGGAGATATTTCAGTTAAATTCAGTAGTGTTTATATCTTACTGGTAGAAGAATGAGATCTGTCCATTTGTCTGATGTAACAAATTAGATACCATGTTTTTTTTTTTGAAGAATTGTTCAGTGTTTTGAAGATTTCCCCCCACCCACTTGCTACAACAGAGATGGGGAACATTTCGTATTTTGGATGTTTTGGCCAAACCAGCATAACAAGCAGTAAGGGACTATAGAAACTGTTGTGAAAAACATCTAGAGACCCAGAAGTTCGCCATCCTTCCACAGAGGTTGGAGAAGCATGCTTGTTCTGAAGTTTGGGTAAATCTTTGCTTCCAGAAACATGTCTTTGGATTTTTTTTTCTTTAGAATTAAGGAATCGTCTGGATGGCAGCAGGTGTTCACAAGTCCTTACTTAGATTGGACTATTGAAAGGGTGGCTCTGAATGCAAAAGTTGTTGGTGGTCCACATGGAGACAAAGATAAAATGGTTGCTGTTGCATCTGAAAGCAGTATTATCTTATGGAGTGTTCAGGATGGTGGTAGTGGTAGTGAAATAGGTGAGTGTATTTCTATTTCTGTTCCTAACTTGATTTATTAGTTCATTTCTTCAGTATTGACATGCATGGAATGCCAGCTGTGGAAGATTCTATGGTGATCTGACAAGGTTCGGATTATATGCATGGTCACGTATGACAGGGACCCTGTCAGATTGCCATAGCTACTTCCCCGAATAGAACTGTACACACATGAAAGTTAAGTTTTCGACACTTAACATTTATTTCTCCTCTATCCATCACGTATAAGCTAAAGTAGTATCTTAATAAGAAAGAAAGGAAAAGCTGGAAGCCATAGTTGCCTTAATGGCTCGATGGTGGTGTTTGTCAATTACAAAAAGTGTTACTGAAACCCTGTTGTGATAATAAGTAGAAAGTAATTTAATTTGTGACTGACTTATTTCAGCTCTGCATGGTGAACCTAAATGTGGGAATTAGAGATGACAGTTTGGAATGACTGCCAGCTTGTCTTGTTCTTACTAAAAGCCATGTTTCTCAAGGTCTCCTTCTGGTAACCTTCAAAAAATGTAATTTGGGCAATACTGTGCCACTAATAATCTTTTGAGCAGAAATTAGCAGAGATGGCTATCACTGGGCATCAGACAGCTTCACACCCAAAGGCTTTTTGTTCCCAGAAGGAAAATAAATATGGAAAAGGCTTTCAGAGAAGCCAAGTACTCCACTTTAGAGTTCTCACTGATAGTTCGTCTCACTTACTGAAATACATACTTGCATCCAAATATCAGCAGTGGCGTTTTTGAAGAGAGAGATGTAAGGAATCTCTTGAGTTTCAAAAGTACTGTTTAAGTAATGGTGTAACAACATTGACAGACTATTTCCTTCAGCTATGGAGAGCTGTCTCTGCAGATTTAATTTACTCACAAGCAATGATGTGGTGTCTTGATACATTCCCCCTCCCATGAGTTGCATGTTTAGAGAAATACTCAATAGTGTAGACTTGTTTCTTGCCCTGAAATAAAAATGCCCCTGAAGGCTTCACTGTGGGATAAATAACTTCAGAAAGATGTGAATATTCAGTTCAGTTTTGTGTTTGTTTGTCTGGGGCACTACATGGAAAGTTATTTATTTATTTGCTTATTAGAAATTCATTCTGCTGTTCCATGTGCAATTGTCAGATGGTATATAAAGTTAGACAAAATAGCAATAAAAAATCAGCAAATTCAATAAAGAAAAGGAAGGTTAAGAACAGTTAAAAAAATGGGGGGAAAGTCTTAATAACAACTTCAGTGCTTTTCTTCAGGAGAAAGGCAGAGTATACATGCAGTAAAAGACTGAATGTATGAGCAAATGTAACAGCAAGTTATCAACTGATGTGGAAAAGACCTGTGGCAGTGCCAGGCCAAGCTGCTTATTAATTATATTAGTATCCCTCATTTTATCCAGTGGGGTTATGGCAAAGTGCAAGGTTCTCTTCTTCCACGCTTAATTCTCACAACAACTCTATGAGCTAGATCAGAGTGGGCTTAAAGTCACTCAGTGAGTTTCATGGCTAAGTGGGGATTTAAAACCAAATCCCATGAGTCTTAGTACCGTACTTTAACCGATACACTGCACTAGCTCTGCTTGAGGGAGTATTTCAGAAACTGAGGCCAATAGCAAAATTATGGCTGCCTGGACTTCCTGAAAATAGTTACAGGACATGTAACCTGTAGTATAAACCAGTCTTCCCCAATGTTTTGAACTTGAACTTCCATCATTCTTGATCATTGCCTAGTACTAGCTGAAAATGGGATTAGCAGTCCAAGTTGTCTCAAGGGCCCTAGGTTAAGGAATGCTATCCACTTCCTTAGTATGTTTTGATAGTTTTTTGTATAATGATACTTGTAGTAATAGAAGGAATAGTTCAGACAAGAAACTGGTGGAAGGAGTTGTGCAGAAAACTTTGGCTTGGAGTCTCCTATATTTCCAGTAGATTGAGTTGACAACAGTAGAGGTGATAGGGAGTTAGGTCACTGAAATAATTAAAAGATAATGGACCTGGTTTTCTCAACGGGACTGGAAGATGGTGGTTTGGATGTGGAGAGGTTGGTTGTGACCCCATTGTCATGGTCAGACCACTTCCTGGTCAAGTTTAGTCTGTTAGCTTCTTCTTCCCTCTGCAAGGGTGGGGGATCTATTAAGATGATCCGCCCTCGGAGACTAATGGATCCAGATGGATTCCTGAATGCTCTGGGGGATTATCCGTCTGATATGGTCGGCGCTCCTGTTGAAGCTCAGGTCACCTTATGGAATAAGGAGATGACCCGGGCTGTTGACACGATTGCGCCTAAGCGCCCTCTCCCTGCTCGCCGAGCCCAGACAGCCCCTTGGTATACTTCTGAACTGCGGGCGATGAAGCGAGAGGGGAGACGGCTGGAGTGCAGGTGGAGGAAATCCCGCTGGGAGTCCGACCGAACACGACTTAGAGCGCATTATCGGGCCTATTTCGTGGCAATACGGCTGGCGAAACGGCAGTATTTCTCCAGCCGTATTGCTTCCTCAGAATGTCGCCCAGCCGAGCTATTTCGGTGGTCCAGGATCTTCTTCAACCGGGAAATCCGGTGGAGGTCCTGGACTGCTCATCAGCTCGCTGTGATAAGTTTGCCATCCATTTTGAGGAAAAAATCGCTCAGATTCGCAGTGGGTTGGACTCCACAGTTACTGCAGAATCAGAGGATGTGTCCAGCGCACCGTGCTTTGGTCAGGTATTAATGGATGAGTTTCAATTGTTGAGACCTGAGGATGTGGACAGGGTGCTTGGATCTGTCTGTTCTACCACAACTCCGCTCGACCCTTGCCCATCCTGGCTAATTAGAAGATCAGCCAGGGGGGTTCGTACCTGGGTCCAGGAGGCTGTGAACGCCTCTTTGAGAGAGGGAGTGGTCCCTACCACCTTGAAAGAGGCGGTAATTCGACCACTCCTTAAAAAGCCAAACCTGGACCCAAGGCTGGCAGCAAACCTCCCTTATTTGGGCAAAGTGTTGGAGCGGGTTGTGGCTGGGCAACTCCAGGAGCTGCTGGATGAAACTGATTTTCTGGATCCATTTCAATCGGGTTTCAGGCCGGGTTTTGGTACAGAGACTGCCTTGTTCGCCCTGTACAATGACCTTTGCCGGGAGAGAGACGGGGGAGTGTGACCCTGTTGATACTCCTGGACCTCTCAGCGGCTTTCGACACCATTGACCATGGTGTCCTTCTGGATAGGCTGGCTGGGTTGGGAGTTGGGGGCACTGTTTTACGGTGATTCCGCTCCTTCCTGGCTGACCGTGTCCAGAGGGTGGTGCTGGGGGACAGTTGCTCTGCCCCATGGCATTCATGTCATGGGGTTCCTCAGGGCTCAATACTGTCCCCCATGCTGTTTAACATCTACATGAAACCGCTGGGAGAGGTCATCAGGAGGTTTGGGCTGAGGAGTCAGCAATATGCTGACGACACTCAGCTCTACCTCTCGTTTTCCACCAATCCAGGTGAGGCGGTTTCTGTGCTGAACTCGTGTCTGGACCTGATAATGGACTGGATGAGGGTCAATAAATTGAAACTCAATCCAGACAAGACGGAAGTGCTGTTAGTGGGTGCTTCGCCAGACAGGCTGGAGGGCCATTTCCCTGCCCTGAATGGGGTTACACTCCCCCTAAGGGACAGGGTCCGCAGCTTGGGGGTGCTCCTGGACCCCAGTCTAACACTGGAAGCCCAGGTGGACTCGGTGGCCAGGGGCGCCTTCCTCCAGCTGCGGAAACTATACCAGCTACGGCCCTACCTGGACGAGCACAGTCTCATGACAGTTACACATGCACTGGTAACATCCCGTATAGATTACTGCAATGCGCTTTACGTGGGGCTGCCTTTGAAGACGGTCTGCAACTGGTTCAGAATCGAGCGGCGCGGCTGGTGAGTGGTGTGGCCGCCAGGGAACATATCAAGCCGATTCTGTATAAGTTACATTGGCTACCAGTTGCTGCCCGGGCCCAATTCAAAGTGCTTGTTTTGACATATAAAGCCCTAAATGGCTTGGGCCCTGGATACCCGAAGGACCGCCTCCTTCCATATGAGCCTACCCGGCAGTTAAGATCTAGCCAGGGGGCCCTTTTGAAAGAGCCGTCCCTCAAGGAGGGAACAGGGACAGCTTGCAGACAAAAGGCCTTTTCGGCAGCTGCCCCCAGACTATGGAATGCCCTCCCGACTGAGATTCGTCTGGCGGCGATACTGATGACATTTCGGCGCCAGGTCAAAACCTTCCTGTTCCAGAAGGCTTTTAACTGAAATAATATTAGCTGTAGGTCTGATGGCAATTTTAATTTTATTTTAATTGTACATATCTTTATTGTATTTTAAATGCTGTAAGCCGCCCAGAGACCTTTGGGTAGTGTGGGCGGCATATAAACTAACTAACTAACTAAATAAATAATGAGCAGAGTCCATAAGCAGAGGCTTTCTGTCCTCTTTGACATGCTTCATTTCTCTATTAATGTGATCTCTGATTTACAATTTTGTGGGCCAGAGATCACCCCATTCAAAGCAATGGAGCCTCTGTGTGTGCAAGGGTGTGATAAATACCCCTCTATGAAACTGCCAGAGAGAGAATACATTTGCACACAGTGTACTGTTGTGCACAAGATAAGAACATAATTTGTTCTTCCTTATTTTCTTGCCTATTGTCATGAGTCACACCCTCACATGTTGCTTATGTGGGTCATATTGCAGATCTAATTGTTTTTAACATGAGACATACAATTCAGGTGTTTTTTACATCTGAGATTATGAAGAATTCCTACATTGATGGAGTTGATTTTCATAAGTTGGAGGCTGTACAAATATGGTAGATGACGAATGAAGCATTATCCAGTCAGAGAAGAGGACAGACAACCTCTGTGCATCCATAGGTAGGGACTGAGGCTGGGGTTAATGAGGTTACATAACCAGTCTATCCAAGTAGATCATTACTACAGGTGTGTTATGCAACTCATTTTAAAATATGAATTATGTTGAAAACCATGCATCCTGACCTATTTTTCAGTTAGTTTTACTCATGGAACAAGCAAGAGTCTGCTCTTTTTAGACAACTTCGCAAGCCCATTTCTCATGCAAAATCTAATGTCAGCAGCCCTGCCTTGGGATAGAGAAATAGTGTTTTGTTCATGTCCTGTAAAAGAAACAATTTGTTGTTACAAACACTCTTCAGAAGCTGACAACACCATCCATGGAAAATTGCAAGGGCTGGCATCTCCATGATAGAGCTGTCCCAGAGGCTGTTTTGCCTTCAATATTACTTACATAAGATACCACTACTGGATTGCTGCTATAAGCAATATTTTACTGAGAGGGCCCCTTAAGACAAGAACCTGTCATTACTTATACCATTCTCTTCCCTGTGGATGGTGGTCAGAATTGTTGAGCTTAAGCAGGACTGACACTTTAAATTCCTTCAGACTATTCATGCTGTCTTCCTTGATTTCCCTGAACCTCATCCTTCTCCAGAGTAATCAATTCTAGTTGTTTCTCTCCTTTTTTATTATTGCCTGCTTTTATGCGCCCTGCTGTTAAATATAGTCGGCATCAGAGATCATCATATGCCCTGAAAAATTATTTGGCATTGTAATTAAGTCACTTTATGCACCAGGCTTCTTGGCAAGTATTGGAAAACATTGCAGCTTCTGGCCTCCACTTTAAATAACATGTTGGTTCTTGCTGCCATACGTTTTCCCCATAAAATGTGGAGATTTTAATTTATCTTCAAAAGGTTTATGTCACACTTTTGATAGAATTATTCATGTAAATGTATAATTAGATTGTGAAGTACATTCATAGGAAAATTACAATAAAATCATACTGTGAGAGCACTTTATTTGAGAGTGTGCTTAACATCTTCACTCTTCCTTCCTTCCTTCTGTGTTTATGTATAAAAGTTTATTCATTCTGATCTGATGGATTTGCTTGGGAAATAGTCTATCAATTCACACACAGAAAATAAACCTAAAAGAAAAGCCTCTTTGCTCTTAATGTGTGCAACTTTCTTTCAAGCATTTGTGTTCAAGTTAAATATTAATAATTAACTAATTGACTTGATAGTTTGTGCCACAAATCAGATGAGAGTCTATTGATGAGTTATCTATTGCCTTTGATAATTGGTGACAGTTGTATATTCTATTTCAGTCATGCAAAATTAACTGTTCAAAATAAAACTAATGTATCCGTTTTGGAAGAACTGGTTTAAGACCTCTTCTTCTAACATTGAAAGTAGAAATGAATTCTTATTTTGACAACATGCTTAAACTTAAATGTTTAAGTGCTATAAGTTGGACAATGAACACCAGAGGCAATTTGTAGACACATAAAAAGGAGGAAATATATGTTATATTCTTCAACATTACATTTTTAATCTTAGTTCTTTAATGTACAAAACTAGTGATAATAGTTACATTGTTTTGACACAGATTATAGTAGTCTGGAATAAAATCATAGTGATTTTGAATTCTGGTATGGCAAGGATAGTTATACAGTAGAGTAGACTTCTACTTCTATTCTTAACTCAGACTGGAATAGTTTGCTGTGTCCTGATGACTTTATGTAGACTTGGATAGTACTGCTGAAAGCTATTTTTACTGAGTCTTCAGTTGGATAGGAAAAGGTAAAGGTTCCCCTTGACATTTAGTCCAGTCATGTCCGACTCTAGGGTGCACTGCTCATCCCCGTTTCCAAGCCATAGAGCCAGCGTTTGTCTGAAGACAGTTTCTGTGGTCACATGGCCAGCGTGACAAGACACGGAATGCCATTACCTTCCCACCGAGGTGGTACCTATTTATCTACTCGTATTTGCATGCCTTTGAACTGCTAGGTTGGCAGGAGCTGGGACAAGCGATGGGAACTCACTTCATTGTGTGGATTCGATCTTACGACAGCTGGTCTTCTGTCCTTGCAGCACAGAGGCTTCTGCAGTTTAACCCGCAGCGCCGCCGATGTCCCGTATTCAGTTGGATAGGATATTTAAAAATTCAGATATTTAGGACTTTAGAAGAGGTTACGTCTTCCTTTATGACACTTTTTGAAAATAGCATTGGAAGTGAAATGCTCACATGGGCAGTTCTTTTCTCAAAGCAGTGGTTGTTCATATTTGATGATGGTATTACAAAAGCAAATGCTAATAGAGATCTTCGGTGCATGTATGTGTTTTGTTTTAGGTATATTTAGCCTTGGAGTCCCTGTCGATGCTCTCTTCTTTATTGGTAACCAGCTGGTGGCTACTAGTCACACAGGAAAAGTGGGAGTATGGAATGCTGTGACTCAACATTGGCAGGTATGTTAGATACACAGAAGTGCTAGACAGTTATATGTTTTATGAGGAGGACATCATTCTTCTGATTATACCTTTTTCGGTAATTTTTGTATAAGTTTTCATGTTTAAAACATTGGCCGAAGTTCTGTTGTGCAACTTTAGGCTGCACAATTAGGATGACATCACCAGCCACAGCTGTGCCATGGCCACTTCAGTTAAATAAAAAGTTTTGAGTCCCTCCAGATTTTGGGTATCCTTAGGGATCCCTTTGGTCCAGATGCAGGCTTTTGGGACTCTGGAATATGAGGCAGAATGGTTTAAAGCCACAAAATTGCTGCTACCAGTACTGGTCCAGCAATGGCAGTATCCAATTCAAATTGTTTCCCCTCGTATTCTGCAGCTTCTAAAGGATGCCCAAAGATAAAGAAAGTTCCCTAGGGATCCCCCAAAATTAGTGGCTGGGTGGGTGGGAACTCTAGGAAGTTTTTTTTATTGCCCCAGAACAGCCATGGCACAGCTGGAGCTGATGATGCCATCCTCTTTGTGTGACACAAAGTTTTTATTTTTTTTATTTTTGACTTAAAGGTTTATGTCTTGATGAATCCTCTTTATATTAAAGTGCATCAGTTTGCTAAAAGGAATAAACATGTCTGTATTTACTTAAAAGTGACAAAATTTATTTACTTAAAACTAACACTTAAGACAAAATAACTTTTTGTGTATGTTAACTTCATAGAATTTTTTTAAAAGTGTCATCTAGTCAGAGCTTTTCAATGGATGGTGTCACACACACTGCTCCAAATGTACATGTTCTTTATTTCTATTATCAAGTGCCCTGTGATTTTTATATATTATTCATTTCGACAATGGATATAGAGATTCTTGGATTCTAGATAAGACTGAGGGAAGAGCTGGGCATTCATGCACGAAACAAACCTTGTAACACAGCCAGATGAATGTCTCTATAGTACAGTGCAAAGACCCTGTGTAATGAAATCCAAGAGGCTGCCTTGCAAATCTCAAGAGGCAGAAGTGACCTAAGGCTGTCTCTGTGGCTGCCCCAGCACTGGTTGAATAAATCCTGATTTTACCCGTAAGTGACAGTCATGCCAGTGAATAACACTATGAGAATGCAAAAAGCCAAGTAGTATAATGCAGTAATTCTGCAGGGGATTGAAAGCTGTCCTAGTATATTTAAATCTAATAAAAATAGCCAAACCTGTTTAAAAGCACTGTCACTTGCCTCCTAAACTCTTCAGAAGTGGCCTGTCTGAGGTTTTAGTCCTGTTTTTAGGATTTGTTCAGCTGGGACTGCTTTTTCTGTCTTGATCAACATTCCCTAACATACTATCATATTCTTTCTTTCCCAAAAAGCTGAGTGAAGTTATGTGACTCTTCAAGACTTTTAAGTTATACTTTCTAGTAAGGAAACACAGAATGTACCTCTTGTGAACAGAAAAGCTTGTTGGATATGGGTGAAGCCAAATGTTTACTTACACTCAGCAAAAGTGCTTTTCTGTACCAGTCTCACTGGTGCTGTTTGTCAATGAGTAAAACAAGCAACCCATGGAGCACATGATAGGCTAGCTCTTTCACTTGCCCTTCAGTATGTGCCTTCTACTCATTTATGTGATGGGAGACTTAACTTTTCATTGGAGGCAAAACTGTGCTTAAGTTGCAGAATGGGAGAGTTGCATGAGGAGGACTAACTTGTTATATGGGCAGATGGGCAAGCAATGTAAGCCAGGTTGTAATAGCTGCCTGCTTTACTTCTTGAGAGTCCCACCCTAAACCTTGTGACCTGTCACAAAGGCTGAAAGTTTGCATCCTATTTGAAAGGCACCTATAAACACTATGACTTGTTCTGCCACAAAGCGAGTTCCTTGTACAGTTTATACAATTCCCACTCAATACTCGTTCTCAGAGTCTGATAGTTTCTGGCATTCTCTCTGTAAGACTTGGCAGACTAGCTGAGGTAGCTTACTTGAGTGTTCATGCTTCGGGGAAGATTCTGATGACAGTATGGAGTATAGCTGTACTGGGACAGGCAACGGATTGAAACTCAGTGAAATTTAGTAACACTGAAACAGCTTGTGTATATTCTGGACATTTAGAGAGCTGACCAAAAATCATGACACTTTTATAAAATGTTTGGGTTTTGGGTTTGAGCATGTTTGGTCTCTCTAATTATGTCATATGCTTTGTGGCAAAGAATGAGGTTTGCTTTCATAAAACATGTGACTGTAATCTTGATTGGGTCATAATTTCTGACACAGATGTTTCCCTGTATGTGAAGAACAATGATAAAGAGGGATAGTGTATGGCTCTTATTGTCCACATGTTGGAGGAGTTTGTTAATGGGAACCTGCTGGTTAATATAAGACTTTTTGTAAATCTGATTCTTGTTTGTGCAGAATTACCCATACACTGGATGATGGGAGCTCCATATTCCATGTAGCCCTGATTTCTTCCTTTATGCAACTGTTAATTTTGTAGGTGAAACCCTTAAAATAGCTTAAAGATGAACTCCAGAGAAAGAAAAATACATATTCCATTTTCCCTGTGAGTGGGGAACCTCCAGGACATCATTAAGCACTGACTACAAGGCCTCTGAATTGGGACTGCAGAACCCTTTCCAGATAATACCTCTCACTAGCCCACTTTCCCTTAATTCTTCAATTCGCTCACTCCATTGTCAAGATTATGCTGTTTAAGAGAGGCCCACACTAACCACTTAACTACACTCTCTGGACTTTCCTGCTGTTCGTAAGTTTCAGGAGGGCCAAGGGTGCTGATGGCTGATAAAAATCTTCCTGCCCAGTACTCTTCCCTAAATGACCAGTCACTCTGACTACTCGGTGTTCTAGGCATCCAACAAAAATCCCCAATGTTAAGCACTTTTGACTCTTACACCAAACCTGCAAGGTAGGAATACCAAATTACAGTATCCACAAAATACACAGGTACCAATAGATGATTGTGGGAAGGCCTGTCTTTAGTACCAACAAAATATTCCCAAAATAACTGAACAGCTGTAAAATGTTATATTAAAGGTGATGAGAAAAGTCAAAAGAGTAAAGTTTCCATTTTCAAAAATGACTGAAACAGGTGAGTGGTGGATCCAGTGGCGGAAGGGAACGCACAGTACCTGTGGTGTCACGCTAAGAACTGTGACAAACCTCTGAACTCAGGTTCGTGTTCATCTCTATCCCTCAAAGAAGAGACTAACTTCTTAACAGTATCATCTCTCCCCCCTCTTCAGCTGAAACCATTATTTGCTAATTAGCTTTGTACCAAGGAGAGGGTTCCAACTGTGGAGATTCTCACAGAGATAAGGCACAGATTATATGATCTCCTGATTAATGGGCATTTTCTATCCACTCTCCTGCCCTGCTGATCCCAGGCATGAACAATCAGACATGTGTTTCAAAAAGGCAATCAAAACTATGATCTCCTATTTTCCAGTTTAGAGATGGGATATTTGTATTTGTCTCTTGAGGGAGATGAATATGAATGTCACCACCACAGGTAGTGGGGCCCTTTCTACCCTCCCCTCTGAACTAGCTGGTCCATTTATCGCTCTTGGCACATGTGACCATTGTTGTCTGCATTGTGCCAATCGCAGAAACAGCTTGGCCGGCACTTCCCTGCCTCCCTGCACTGCTGACCACTCAGCAGCTTAGCGAGGAGATTCGTCCTGGGCTGCTTCTGTGATTGGCTCAATGCAGATGACAATAGCCCCCACGCCATGCTGCAAGCATAAGTGAACTGGCTGGTTTTAATGGAGGGTCAAAAGGACCCAGCTTCCTGTGGTGGTGATATTCAGTATCCTATCTCTATTACAGTTCTTTGACATTCATCATTCCTCTCTAGTCAGCAGGTTCCTGCTGTCCTTCCAATGCCTCCGATTGCATATAGGCCTCTTGTGTTCACACATGGTGCTTCTGCTTCACACTTCTCTGAGGAAGGTAAACCTACTCGTATAGCTCAAGAGCGGCAAGAGGCATTTGCCATTCCCTCTCTTCAGTTCTTCCCACAGTGAGAAAGGTATGTTGAGGACTCCACAGACTAGAACAGGGACAGAAACCTAAAGCAAAAGCATGCTGCTTGTGGCTTATATACCGCCCCATAGCACTTACAGCATTCTCTGGGTGGTTTACAATTTAATTATATAGGCTTCACATCTTCCCCACTCCAGCAAGCTGGGTATTCAATTTACCAACCTCAGAAGGATGGGAGGCTGAGTGAACCTTGAGCCAGCTACCTGGGATTTAACCTGAGTAGTGAGCAGAGTTTTGGCTGCAGTACAGCAGTTCAACCACTGTGTCACAAAGCTCCTGTAAAGCAGATGGATGTATAGAAAGGAACAACAGTTAAAGAGAAAAGAGGATAATGGAGTTTTATTCAGTTTAGTGGTATTCATATATGTGCTAGGTACAGTCATTCAGCCTACTCTGTTTAGTCACTGGGATGAAGAGGGTGTCTCTTCCTGAATATAACACAAGTGCTTGTTCTGATGAACACTGCTGGGAGCTGCTGCTTGTTTGTTCCCCTAGCAGCCTTAAAGCAGTAGTATCAAAACATTCCAAATTGCTGCCCTCTTTTTGAGGGAAGGGTAAGTAGAGGGAGCCGTTGGGTGTTGCTACTCACAGGTTTTCCACTTCCCACTCATTTTTCTCTCCAGAGCAGACATGTCTGGCAAAAGAGGTGGGTTGTTGGCTTGGCCCCATGTAGGCATGACTACCAGACAATTTGAAGGCTTCCTCCTACATTTTGGAAATAGGGGGATAATGGAATTGTAATAAAAGAGATGGAAGAGTCTTTGTTTATCTCCATAGATTTGATAGTTGAATGAAGAGTGATAGCTTGGGCTCATTGGAGGGCATAACAATGTGCAAGAAATATTGAGGGCATTTTCATTGATCATTTAATTCATTATCTGGTTTGTTTTTATTTTGGTCAAGCAGCCTAGTCACCTCAAGAGATGGCCTAAGCTTGTCTTGTTCAGTGTTAAAGGGAGT